GTCACAAATGTCTTTACTGTCACTTTTGATCAATTTAATGCATCCTTAATAAATAAATGTATTAATTTCTTGATTTAGAGAAATATGTTTAATCAGTTATTTTCATGAAATAACTTGGCCTAATTAATGATCCAATGATTTGTTTCATGTTGCACTAATGAAGTTCCTCTGTGTGTGTTCCTCTAAATCACTGAGTCCGTTCTCAAACTCTGAGTCTCCTCATAAACACAGCTGGTTTCTCATCGTCTTTGCCTCTGTGTTTGCACTGTGGGTTCAGGTGTGTGAGCAGGGATGTGCGGCTCTCTGTGTTCTCGCTCTACGCAAACCCAACAACTGTAAAGTCATCATGGAGTGTGGCGGAGCGCTGGCGGCCCTGCAGGCCATGAAGACTCACCCGGCTGAAGTCAGTGTGCAGGTAAAGCCGTCTGTGCGCTGTCTCGCATGCATCAGCAGATGCGTTTACTCAAAGTGACTTACATTGCATTTAAGGTTCATGCAGAATCCCATAGAGCTTCAGGAGCAGGAATTTCTCTGACATGCATAGTAACAAGAAAGTGAAAGTTTTCAGCATTTCACTAACAGAATATCTTTATACCTGGTAAAACTAGGAGAAAATGCATATCATTTTGCTCTTAAGGCCTGTTCACATAAACGTTAACTATATTGAACATTAGTGTGAAACAGGCCTTTAACTATTCATTTTCTTCAGAAAATGTGAAAATCTAGGTTTTATTTCTTACTTTTTCATTTAAAAGTACTTTCTTTGTGTAAATATGCTGTTTTGTTATTTATTTATTTATTTTGATTTCATTTTATTTTGATTCTTGGTGAATACCTGGTAATGGTTATTATAGTTAAATCAAATAAAATATAAAAAAACAGCATAAAAAACATTTGTTACTTGAAATTAATTAAACTATAAAATAAAATAAAATAAATAAAAAAATAAAATATAATAAATAAAAACTTAATTTATTTCAACAAGTTGACAAGGCAACAATTTTTGTTTTCTAAAAATCTAAAACTAATAAAAAAAATATATAGACATATAAAAAAAAAAAAGTAATAAAAATGACAAAAATACACAACAAAAGTACTAAAATAAAACCTAATTCTAATTTGATATTTTATTTAAAATGTTAAAAACAAAACTAAACCAATATTTCAATGATACTAAAATAACACTAGTTCATATATAGTTATTCCGCCCCGTGTCTAGGGCACGATAAGGGCATTATAGAGAGAGGGTTGTGGTGGTGGATTCAGAAAAAAAGAAAAAAAATAATTTGGTCAGGGAGCAAACAAGCAAACAGATTACATAAGCAAAACTCTTACGTGTATTAAAGATGGTAAGTGAAACATGAAGAGCATGTCTTCAGGGTGTCTAATCAATAATCTAATCAAATTATAAAATAAAAATACGAAAAACGGAGATTGACACAAAAAAAGGCAGGACAACCCTACGCTCTGTTTTTTCCAGTGTATGCTTTAACATGAACAAAGAAGAGCACTAAGTTTGAGCACAGCACATCTTCATGCAACCTGTGAGAGAACAAACAGAGGAAAAGCAAGAGAGAGAGAAACAGAGCAACACAATGCAGCGAAAGAAAGAAAAAAAGAACGGTCGTAACAATAGTGATTTGAATAAAACTTTTTTTTCTGCCAAAAATTCCCTTTGCTACAGATTTTGATAGTCTATTATTATTATTGTATTTTTTATTTTTTTTTAAATATCTTTACTTTTTGCCCTTTTGGCCTTTTTTTGTTTTCTTTGTACTTCTTCTGTTCCCTTCGTTTTCTGAAAAAGAAATAAATGAATAAAACAAGCTGCTAAGCAATTGTTCTTCAGATGATCTTTCCTGTTGTTCCTGGAAAGCAAACCAGCCTCTGTTTGTATTGTTTAAAGGGGTCATATGATGTTGCTAAAAAGAACATTATTTTGTGTATTTGGTGTAATGAAATGTGTTTATGCGGTTTAAAATTAAAAAAACACATTATTTTCCACATACTGTACATTATTGTTTCTCCTCTATGCCCCGCCTTTCTGAAACGTGTCTATATTTACAAAGCTCATCGTTCTGAAAAGCGAGGTGTGCTGTGATTGGCCAGCTATCCAGTGCGTTGTGATTGGTCGAATACCTCAAGTGTGTGATGGAAATGTTACGCCCCTCACCATACTGTGATGCCGTGTCCGGCCGGAGCGACGAGACAAAAACATTAAAACCCATTATAAACGAGGCATTTGTTGCATCCAGTGGGGACATAATTACGTATTATAATGACTTATACTGTGTTTTTACGCGTTGCATCGTGCTGAGTAAACATAAAACCATGTCTGCATTTGTGATCGGAGAAATGACAAACAA